TGAACGTCCCTCCTGTCCAAGTTGCTGGTGCTGCTAGTCCCTCCCTTTCCAGTGGTGGACTCAGCACCTTTCCGAGAAATGATGGCTTGTGCCGAGCCCGCGGTGGAGAGTGCCAAGCAGTCATTTCTTCGCCAAAACAGGCAGTGCCAGCCCTGTGCATTCACATTGTAGAAAGAGATGGTGGGCCAGTCTTTGAGCAAGTCGGTCTCTGCCAGAGTGCACGGCCAGCGCCGACGTGTGGAGCTGTAACTACGGTCAGGGACAGTACATCGTCATTACGGCCCACTGGGTGAACGTGGTGCCGGCACAGCCGCACCAGGCAACTTGGACAGGTCATGCCGCTTTGCCTCCACGTGTGACTGTCCTTGGTCCAGCAAAGATGTCCCCCTCCTACCACCTCTTCTTCCGCCGTGTCCTCAGCTGCCACCACCCGTGCCAAGTCCCTGTTACCCGACCGGCATATCACATGTGCAGGGCGCAACGGTGTCACGCTGTGCTGCACCTGGTATGCCTTGGCGAACGTAGTCACATCAGGGGGAGGAACTTGCTGAGTGTAATGAACAGAAAAAAAGATCGACAGTATGGCTGTCTCCGCGCAAACTGATAATCGGAACCATGTTGACCGACAACGGAAAGAAACATGGTGTCTGTCTGCGTCAAGGAAGCGTTGTGCCATTGCGCCATGCATGGCTCACACCCACACCATGTTCAATCTGGTTGTCTAGCGGTTCCTAAAATCCACCATCCCACTGCAAGACATCTTAAAATGTCACGGTAAAACTTTGCATGCATTTCAGCCATTCCTACACCGCAAAGCACACCCTCCTTGAGCTGCAGCGGCAGAACGGAATTCCCACAGTATCGCCTGATCTGACGTTGCAGAATTGGACGTTGCATACAAGGTGAATTGCAACCCTACATATGTTAGACCGCCTTTACGACCAGCGAAAGGCCATCACCGATTTCCTGATGTTACAAGCGGATAAAGGTACTCCCTGTGGTAACTTAGATGTCAGCCATTGGGCAGCTCATGCGTGAGCACTGCCGCTTGCTCAGGCCCTTTGAGGAGGCCACGCTATTCGTGAGTCGCAGGACTATGGGATGAACGACGTTCATTCCTCTGTTGCACGTCCTGGAACTATATGTCTGTTAACAATGGCTGGTCAGGGTGCGGTAGACGTGGCGCACAGATCTCAACGCCTAACTTTGACCCCTGTGGGGGGCAGGACAGGAAGAAGAGGAGGAGGTAGAGGAGGACATTGGTGACTCAGGAATTATTGAGTGAAATGGGTGGTTTTTCCACTCAGCGGACAGGAGTGGAGGAGCAGGAGCATCTGGTAGAGGAGGAGAGGAGAGGAGACAGAGGACCCAGACGCACCCGTGGTGCAGTTATGCTGTGGAGATGGAGGCAGGGTAGTCCCTCGCATTCCTTGGCACAAATGGCCCATAGCATGCTCGGACTTGCTTGCGTAGCGACAGCCTGAACAAATATTTATTAACCATCAGACAGAGGGATGACTTTTGGCTGTCCCACCTTGTTGGACCCTCGCTACCTGTTCAAAAATGGTGGCCTTTTTCACACCTGCTGAGAGGGAGGCCAAAATAACGTACTATAAAAACCACCTATGTTAGTCAGTTGGTCATCTGCCTTTCTTTGCGCCAACGTTCCATCCTCAGACACTGTGGGCCCTGTTGCGCTCGCGTTCCGCTGCCATGGCAGCAGGGGATGGGGTGGGGTGGTAGGAGCAGTGGCAGCTCCACCAGCAGCGGCTGCCTCAGGTCTGCAGTCGATGATGAGTAGCTTTACTTCACCAACTCGCAAGTGAGGAAACTAACTAACCAGCCGCGCAGCAGCACAGCATTCAGGTGGACATGGAGCAGGACCTCAAACAACACACAGCTTGGGCCTACTTGGACAGCACCCTGCAACCGAGGTAGACAATCCTTGACTACTGGGCAACGAAACTTGACCTTTTGCCCCAACTAGCTGAATTTGTCCCTTGAATGGCTGTCATGCCTACACACACAGTAGCGTGGCATCGGAGCGGCGTGTTTAGTGCGGCAGGAGGTATTGTAACTCGCGGAGGACACGACTGTCCACCCCAAAGTGTGTGAGAGACTCACGTTTGTGAAAAATGAATCAGGCGTGGATTAGTCTGGATTTCAAACCACCAGTTCCTGACACTCAACTGACCTAAATCCGCCATGAATCATGCCCCAAACATGTTATTAGGGACAAATGGGAAGACCTCCACCTGATCCGTACATTTGTATATATATTTTATTGAGAAGGGCTGCTGTTCGGCCGACTCATGTTTTTGCCCACAATTTTTAATGACTTATACTCTGCAGGTCGGGCCCCCTCATGAATTGGGGTTTTTAAATTATTTATACTTCGCTTGGGACCACCGTCACATGAATTGAACCTTTTTAATGATTTATACTCTGCTGGTCGGGCCCCTCATGAATTGGTGTTTTAAATTTCTTTATACGTCGCTGGACGACGTCACATGAATTTAAACTTTTAATTATTTATAGTCGACCAGTTCCAGACCGATGGAATAGCAATTTTTTTAAATATTTATTTGACACGTGTTGTCCATCTCATCAATGAGGTGGGACTGTTTATTTATTGGCCACGGTTTGGCCCCCTCCTGTTTCTTCCATTGTTTAACTTGTTGTATCGGTCACGGTTTGGGCCACATGTTTGGTTGTCTTGTTAAGATTTTCTGTAATGTACACAGTTAAGCTTGACTTGTCGACTTTCCACTATCTACTTCAAGGTATAGCTATCGCATCAAAGTTTTTTTTTTTTTTTGTCTTAAATCCAATTTCTGATAATGTCAATTTAGTTTGATTACTGCCGCTGTTTAAGGCGACATACTTTTTTGTCATCTGTGTAGACATCTATTTATAGGCGATGTTTTGGCTAGAACGAATATATTTAGTATTAACCTAGCCGTTCAGGCCGATCACTGAAACACATCGGGAATTGACGTTGATATATCTGTCGCCTTAGGGGCCCGCTCTGTCTAGGCGACATAATTGTTTGTCTCTGTGTAGGACATCTATTTATAGGCCGTTGTTTGGCCACATAAATATTAATTTATTAACTAAAACATAGCCGTTTCAGGGCCGCTCCCTGAACACACTCGGGAATTGCTTTGTATTATCTGTCGCCTTAGTAGGCCGCGGGTGTCTGAACCAGCTCATGAATTGCTTTCTATATGTGTCGCCTTTGAGCCGCTGGGCTGGACAGCTGATGAATTTGATTTGTATATATCTGTACTTATTGTCGGCTGTTCCGGACAGCTCATGAATTAACTTTTTGTATATAGCCTTCCAAATCAACTCTCAGACATAAGTCATGATATTCATGCTGGTGTATAGCCCTTATAGGCCAATGGTCAATAAAGTCATGATTGTTATTAGTGTGTATAGCCTTATAGGCCGCTGTCTTTACAACTTTATAATTCCATGCAGTATATAGCCCTATCTGGCCACTTTCTTGGCAATCCAGTTGCGTGTAAGCCCCCATTCACAACTCTGTGCCACGGGGCCCCTGTTACAGCCTTATCATACTGCTGCCTGATCCCATCCTCTGCCATGTGCGTCTTTGTCGTTCTGCGCACGCTGCTGGGGGTTCCAAGTTTTATAACCTATGCCTGTGTATGGCTTCCGAATTTACTGCTGCACTCCTCCGCCACCCTGCGCCATGGTGCCTCTGTCGTGCTTGCTCACGCTGCTGGACGGCTTACGCTTTTTATCCTTAGGCCTGTGTATGGCTTTCCGAATACTGCTGCATCTCCTCCGCCACCCTGCGCCATGTGCCACGTTTCGGGTCTCCTCACAACTGCTGCCAGGTCCAATACTGATTCATGGACTGTACCGGATCCTCTCGATGACGTGGGGTTCAAGCGGGTTTGAATCCACTTAACGGCAAAATCGTTGGACAATAATGCTGGGTCGTTCAGTGCTTGTGTGCATTTAAGCCAGGACAACTAAAGGGCAGCAGCACAGACCTGGTTATTACTCGCTCAAAGCATGGCTGAACTAAAACCACGAGTCTCTACCACAAAAATGGGACCCAGACCATGCCCTGGGTCTTCTGTTAACTTAGATTGCACGGAGGTGTAGAGTCCGTTTATCGGATATAAATAGACAAAACGCCACACCAAAAGAGGTGGCCATTTCCAACACTTATTCCAGAAAGGTGGAACAACAACCCGTTTCATATACGGCCCGGTAGACGTTTCACGTCTGCCAAAATTCTGTCGATTTAAGACGCAAGCTACACTTCCTGTGGTCTCTGACCGTCGATATACCTTTAAAGTGTCAGCCTTTGAAGCTATATTCCATACGGAGAGCACTGACACTGGTGCCCCCTTCCGTCAACATGCTCTTTAAATGTTTCAGTTTGTCAACCATATTCACCTCCAGGAATGCCAAAACTCTTGGGCTATCCCAGTAGCAGCTCAGGGGTCCAGGTCCCAATAAAGCTCCCGGTTCGCAGGTTGTTCCGTCTTATGGATATGAAAGTACGGACGGTTATATGATCTTCTTCGCACCACACGGCATTACCTCATAAAATAATTCTGCATTGCATCTGCAATTCACAACGCATGATCTTTCCGGATCGCCACTCAGGCCATTGGACTCTTGATAGTTGTCTCCCTCTCACTGCTGATGCTGGGGGGTACTTTTAACATAGGCCTGTTGACGTATGGCCTTCAATTTGGAAGCTGCTTCCGCTCCGCCACTCTGCCATTGGACTCTTGATTAGTCGTCTCCACACGCTGCTGCTGGGAGGGAGACGTTTTGTTAACCTAGGCCTGTGTATTGGCCTTCAATGATGTAGCTGGCCTTCTGCTCCGCCTCTCTGCCAGTGGACTCTTGATAGTTCGTCTCCACACACTGCTGCTGGGGGTGGACTTTTTAACATAGGGGCACTCTGTATGGCCTTCAATTTAAGGCTCTGCTACGCTTTCGCCACTCTGCCATGGGCCCCGTGTACCGCCTTCCTCTTGCTGCTGCCAGGTCCAGAGTGTGATCATTGGGTCCCTGTACTGGCTCTCACATTGCTGCTGACTTCATCGCCAGACTCTGCCATGTGCCACTTTCATGGTCTCCTTAACACTGTTGGTGGGTTCCATTTTGTGATAGGGTGCTGTATGGCCTTCCGTTGCCTGCTGGCCCATCCACCGCCACCCTAGACGCCATGTGCCATCTGTCGTCTGCTCACGCTGCTGACGGCTTCCGCTTTTTTAAACCGAGGACCTGTGTTTGGCCTTCGTATTACTGCTGGCATTCCACGACCACCCTGAGTCATGTGTCTCTGGTTAGTCTTGCTCACGCTTGCTGACGGCTTCCGCTTTTTTAACCGACGGCCTAGTGTTTGGCTTCCGAGTATATACTGCTGCATCCACAGCCACCCTGCGCCATGTGTCTCTGTCTGTCTGCGCACGCTGCTGCACGGCTTCCGCTTTTTAAACCTAGGCCTGTGTATTGGCTTCCGAATACTGCTGCCGTCCACGCCACCCGGCACCATGTGCCACTTTCTGGTCTCCGCTTACACTGTTGGTGGGTTCCATTTTGTGTAGATGGGTGACTGTATGGCCGTTCCATTGCTGCTGCCTCCACCGCCCACCCTGCGCCATTGTGCCTCTGTCGTATGCACACGCTGCTGCCGGCTTCCGCTTTTTAACCTAGGCCCTTGTGCTTATGGCTTCCGAATAACTGCTGCCTACACCGCCACCTGAGCCATGTGTCTCTGACCGTCTGCTCACGCTTGCTGACGGGCTTCTTCCGCTTTTTAACCTAAGGCCTGTGTATGGCTTCCGTATACTGCTGCCTACACCGCCACCCTGCGCCATGATGCATCTGTCGTCTGCTCACGCTGCTGACGGCTTCCGCTTTTTTAAACTAGTCCTGTGTATTATTCCGAATAACTGCTGCCTCACCGCCACTCTGCGCCTTGTAGCAACTTTCAGGTATCCCTACAATGTTTGGTGGGTTTCCATTTTGTGATAGGGTGCTGTATGGCCTTCATTGCTGCTGCTCCACCGCCCACCCTGCGCCATGTGCTCTGTCGTTCTGCTCACGCTGAATGCCACGGCTTCCATAGCTGATTAACCGATGGCCTGTGTTTGGATTCCGGGCTACTCCTGCATGTACGCCAATGGTGCAGCCATGTGTCTCTGTCGTTGCGCACGATGCTAACGGCTAAATCCGCTTTTTGACAGAACGCTGGGACGTTCTAGTGTATGGCGCATCAATTGCCAGAAGCTGCAATAAGCTCGCCACTCTGCATCAGACTCATTAGTAGTCGTATCCCCACGCTGCTGCTGGGGGGACTTTGTTAACATGAGGCCTCTGTATGTGGCCTTTGTAATTTTAGCTGCGTTGACGCTCCGCCACTCTGAATGGGCCCCCTGTTACGCCTACCCTTTTGGCTGCTGCCAGGCCTCGTAATCTGCCTGGGCCCCGTATCGACTCCTCATGCTGCTGCAGGCCCCCGTAATCTGTCATGGGCCCTGGACGGCCTCCTCATGCTGCTGCAGGTTTCAGAGTGTGTCATGGGTCCCTGTACGCCTCATTGCTGCTGTCTCCATCGCCACACTCTAGCATGTGCCACTTTCAGGTATCCTCACACTGCTGATGGGGTTCAATTTTGTCATAGGGTGCTGTTTGGCCTCCATTGCTGCTGCCTCCACGCCACACTGTGACTTCCTCACTCTGGTTTGGCACCGTGACTGCCCCAAAATGAGTGAGTGTGCGGTGATTCTAAGATCGACGGCACTCATCTGCATTGTAATACTGACTGACAGTATTATTTCTTCCCCAGCAGGACTCAAGGGGCATTTAAATTAAGGTACAGTGTTCTGCCACTATATATAATGCTCTCTGAAGCCTTGAAAACACCCTTTTTGTAGTTTAATTCGCAGCGAATATATTCGGCTCGAAGCGAAATTATTCGGCGAATTGGGGGGAAAATTTGCCGAAATTTTTTTTGAATAAATTCCCCTCATCTCTAGTGTTTACGATATTTACATAATACAAAAAAATTACAAAAAATGCCCCTCATGGGGTTAAAAGGTTTATCAATGGAAAAAACAAAAAAAACGGGAGGAAAGGAAATTTAAAAGAATAAAAAATATTTTGTTTGTTACCATGTAAACCTAAAATTTTATTGTTCTATGATTTTGTTTTTGCAATCCCTAAAATTTTTTTTTTTTTGATTCTTTTTTGGGATAAGGTTGGGGCTCTAATTTTTTCCAATTTTTTGGTTATGAAAAAAAAGGGTCGCAGGATATTTTGGGATTAGAGGCCTTACGTATGTATTTTTTTCCCCACATATTGATAAGTCCAAAAGGGGGACACAGCAGGAGACGGTTTAAACCCATTTTCCCTTTACGGGGCGTATTTACCCTTTCCTCCCCAGGCCTTTTTCACATTTCAGTGCTCTGGCATTTTTGAAGGAAAATTTGGGTTTGCTAATGAAAACACTGTACCCATATAAAATTGTTTTATTTTTTTTTCACAAAAATAGAGCTTTTGTTTGGTGGTATTTAACCCCCGGGGGTTTTTTTTTTTTAAAAATAAAAAAACAAAATTTTTGGGGGGAAAAAGGGGGGGGGGGGGAAAAAAAGGGGGGGGGAAATTTTAATTGGGGGGGGGGGGGTTTTTTCCCCCAAAAGGGGGGGGGGGGGGGGGGCCCCGGGGCCCCTTTTTTTTGCTGGGCACTGATGGGGGGGTTTGGGGTTTTGGGGGTGGCGGGGGGGTTTTGGGGGGGGGGGGCTGGGGGGGTTTTTTTGGGGGGGGGGGGGGGAATGGCCCGGGGGCATGGGCCGGGGGGGGCCCCCCCCCGGGGGTTTGGGGGGGGGGGGGGGGGGGTTTTTAAAAAAGGGGTTTTTGGGGGGTTTTTTAAAAAAAAAACGGCCCCTTTCCCTTTTTTCCCGGGGGGGGGAAAAACCCAAAATTTTTTTTTTTTGTGTTTTTTGGCAAAAAAAGGGGGGGCCCGGGGGGTTTTTCCCCCAAGGGGGGCCCCCCGGGAAAAAGGGGGGGGGGGGGGGGGGGGTTTTGGGGCCCCCAAAAAAACCCCCCCCCCCCTTTTTTTTTTTAAAGGGGGGGTTTAAAAAAAAATTTTTTTTTTTAAAAGGGGGGGGGGGGGGGGGGCCCCCCCTTTTTTTTTTTTTTCCCCCCCCTTTTCCTTCCCCCCGGGGGCCCCCCGGGGCCCCCCCGGTTTTTCCCTTTTTTTCCCTTCCTTTTTTTTTTTTTTTGGGGGTTTTTTGGGGCCCGGGGTCTCCTTTTGGGGCCCCCTTTTTTTATTTTTTTTTGGGGGGGTTTTTTTTTTTTTTTCCCCCTTTTTTTTGGGGGGGTTTTTTTTTTTTTGGGGTTTGGGGGGAAAAAAAAATTTTTTTTTCCCCCCCCGGGGGGTTTTTTTTTTGGGGTTTTGGGGGGGTTTTTTTTCCCCCCCCGGGATTTGGGGGGAAAAAAAACCCTTTTGGGGGGGGAAAATTGGGGGGGGGGGGGGGCCCCCTGGCCCCCCCGGGGGGGTTTTCCCCCCGGGGGGGGGGGGAAAAAAAGGGGGGGGGGGCCCCGGGGGGGGGGAAAAAAGGGGGGTTTTTTGGGGGGGGCCCCCTTTTTTTTTTTTTTTGGGGTTTGGGCCCCTTTTTCCCCGGGGGGGGGGGGGGGGGGGTTTTTTTTTTCCCTTTTTTTTTGGGCCTTTTTGGGGCCCCCCCCCCCCCCTTTTTTTTTCCTTTGGGGTTTTTCCCTTTTTCCCTTTTCCCCCGGGGTTTTTTATTTTTTTTTTTTTTTCCCCCAAAAACCCTTTTCCCCCCCCAACCCTTTTTTTTTTTTTTTTTCCCCTTTTTTTTTGGGTTTTTGGGGGGGGGGGGTTCCCCCGGGGTTTTTACCCCAGGGCCCTTTAGGCCCCCCCTTTTTTTTTTTTTTTCCCCCCCCGGGGGTTTTTTTGGG